CAAAGGATATGAACAGACACTTCTCAAAAGAAGACATTTATGCAGCCAACAGACATATGAAAAAATGCTCATCATCACTGGTCATTAGAGAAATGCAAATCAAAACCACAATGAGATACCATCTCACACCAGTTAGAATGGCAATCGCTAAAAAGTCAGGAAACAACAGATGCTAGAGAGGTTGTGGAAAAATAGGAACACTTTTATACTGTTGGTGGGAGTGTAAATTAATTCAACCATTGTGGGAGACAGTGTGGCAATTCCTCAAGGATCCAGAACTAGAAATACCATTTGACCCAGTAATCCCATTACTGGGCATATACCCAAAGGATTATAAATCATTCTACAATAAAGACACATGCACACGTATGTTTATTGTGGCACTATTCACAATAGCAAAGACTTGGAACGAACCCAAATGACCATCAATGATAGACTGGATTAAGAAAATGTGACACATATACACCATGGAATACTATACAGCCATAAAAAAGGATGAGTTCATGTCCTTTGCAGGGACATGGATGAAGCTGGAAACCATCATTCTCAGCAAACTATCACAAGATCAGAAAACCAAACACTGCATTTTCTAATTCATAAGTGGGAGTTGAACAATAAGAACACATGGACACAGGGAGGGGAAGAGCATACACTGGGGTCTGTGGGTGTTGGGGGGCTAGGGGAGGGATAACATTAGGAGAAATACCTAATGTAGGTGACAGGTTGATGGGTGCAGGAAACCACCATGACACGTGTATACCTATGTAACAAAATTGCACATTCTGCACATGTAATCCAGAACTTTAAATATTATAATAAAAATAATAATAATAATAAAATTTACTTAATTTCTTCATTGACCCATTGGCCGTTTAAGAGCATGTTGTTTAATTTCTGTGTTTTTATGTATTTTCTGAGGTTCCTCTTGTTATTAATTTTTAGTTTTATTCCACTGTGGTCAGAAAAGATACTTGATACAATTTCTGTTTTTTGAATTTGTACAGACTTGTTTTGGGGCCTTGGGTATGGTGTTTTCTGGAAAATGTTTTATGTCCTGATGAAAAGAATGTGTATTCTGCAGCAGTTAAGTAAAATGTTCAGTAAATGTCAGTTAGGACTATTAGATCTAGTGTGTAGTTTAACTCCATTGTTTCTTTATTGATTTTCTGTACGGATGATCTGCCCATTAGTGAGACTGGGGTGTTAAAGTCCCATACTATTATTGTATTGCAATCTGTCTCTCCCTTTAGATCTATTAATGGTTGCTTTATATACTTGGGAGTTCCTGTTTTGGGTGTATAGATATTTATAACTATTATATCCTCTTGGCCGGACGTGGTGGCTCATGCCTGTAATTCCAGCACTTTGGGAGGCTGAGGTGGACAGATCACAAGGTCAGGAGATCGAGACCATCCTGGCTAATACGGTGAAACCCCATCTCTACTAAAAATACAAAAATTTACATATTTTTATATTACCTATATCCTAACAGGCTGCTGTAGCTATTACAGTTGTTGATAGATGTGTACTTTGGGCTTCATACTACAGTTATGAGTGGATTGCACACCACAAATACAGTAATAGAGTATTCTGAGTGTGCCCATGTATTTAATTTTACTAGTTGGTAAAATTAAATTAAACCAGGTTTTATACTTGAAAAGTTTTCTTTTGCACATTAGTATTCTTTTTTTTTCAGATTGTAGAACTCTCTAGCATTTCTTGCAAGATGAGTCCAGTGTTTGAGTTCACTGATTCTTTCCTCTGCTTGATCCTCTAATGATCTACTCAGTTCATCAAATGCAGTCATCAGTTTCAAGATGTGCTTCTTTATTGTTTCAATCTCTATGTTAAATTTCTCTGAGAAATTTTTGAATCAATTTTCTGTGTTATCTTAGGTATCTTTGAATTTCCTTAAAATTGCTACTTTGAATTATTGATCAGAGAGTTCACAAATCGCCATCTCATTAGGGTTAGTCACTGGGTTTTTGCTTTGTCTTTTTGGGAAGCTCATGGTTGCCTGTTTGCTATTGTTTCTTGTGGATATACATCTATGTGTTTACATTGAAGAATTAGCTATTTATTTCAGTTTTCTCTGACTTGTTTTTGTTTTATTGGATACATTTGCTTAGTGAATCTTCACTGCTAGTTCACTGTCCTTTATTTTGGCTCTAGGTGGCACCTAAGTCCAGGTTCACCTCAGCTCTAGTTTTTTTTTTGTTTTTGTTTTGTTTTGTTTTTTTTGAGATGGAGTCTGGCTCTGTCGCCCAGGCTGGAGTGCAGTAGCCTGATCTGGGCTCACTGCAAGCTCCGCCTCCTGGGTTCACGCCATTCTCCTGCCTCAGACTCCTGAGTAGCTGGGACTACAGGCTCCTGCCACCACGCCCGGCTAATTTTTTGTAGTTTTGGTAGAGACAGGGTTTCACCATGTTAGCTAGGATGGTCTTGATCTCCTGACCTCGTGATCCACCCGCCTCGGCCTCGCAAATGTGCTGGGATTACAGGCGTGAGCCACCGCGCCTGGCCACCTCAGCTCTAGTAAGTGGTCAGAGCCCTGCTTGTCCCAAGTGGGTGAGGTCCCAAAGGTATTATCTTAGCAGTATTGGAAGGCTGGCTAGGCATTCATGCCAAGGTGACCTGCAGGATAAACCTGCTACAGCATGGTGCTGCTGAACGGCCATTCTGAATTTGCATGTCCTTTGGTCAAGTTATAGAGTAGAATTTCCAGGGCTGGGGATGGTAGTCCTTCCTTCCTCATTTGTCTCTGCCTGTACTCTGGGATATTTCTGCCTTCAGACAGTCATGATGCTTTCTGTGGGTTAAGGCAAGGACAAATCTCCTCCCAGGGAACCCAAGAAGGTGGAGAAGCTGGTTGAACACCTCAATGTCACTTTTTCCAGTGTAGAAACCATGAGTTGGGGGAGATTTTCTATACACTTGGTACCAGGCAGAATAGGAAGAAGGAGAGTCATGGATGTGGAAGTCTGATTGTCAAAGTTTTTGAATTTCTCTGTGGTTCCGGGAACTGTCTCATCCTCACATGTGAGCTCTGGGTTGTTGTTGGTGTAGATATTGGTACTGTACGTTTGGTTTTGGTTTTCTCTGGGAGGGAGTAAAGCGAGCCTGCCTCTATGCCCCTATTTTAAAACTGGAAATCATTTTATTGTTACTTTATTGATGCAGTATCTTCTTGAATCATGAAAATAGTAATAAGAGCTTCTGATGAGTTCTGTTCTGAGCAATAGCTCTTTTTATTCTGGGATTATTGTTTTCTTTGTTCATCTTTGCATATCCCTTCAATATTTTAGGCTCTTTTTGAATGTCTGTTCGTTCTTGGTTGCCCACTCACATTTAAGAAAAGGAAAGAAAAATCTGACTGTGGGCTGTATGTACATGGGTAAGCCTTCATTTTCAGGTGACCAAAAGAGGAATTGCCTACTATACATTAAGATCCCCAGAGGCCAGCGATCTTAAAGTATTCAGTGGGTTATATCCTCTGGGATGCAGAGCTGTTTGTGAACTGAAGTACAGAACTCTGGTGCTGAATATGGAAGACCCTGAGGATTGTTGAGCAGATGTGTACATACCTGGTAGAGACCTGTTTACATAACCATTGACTGTGTGCATTTTAGGCCAGGCCCGAGCAGATGCATCATCCCTATCCTGCATCAAGGAGTTCTTTGTTTCTGAGTGCCAACTTTTCCCTGATGAGAGAGAAGGCAAAAATAAAGTCAGCTAAGCATGTGTCTCATGAATGACGCCCCTCCCCTTTCTCCTTCCCCACTCCCAGTGTGCTCACACCTTAAGCATTTTTGTCAGCAAAGTAGGCACAGAGCACTTATCCTCACAAAGTCAGTGTGAGGGAGGGACAAGATAATTATCTAAAGGCAGACATCTCTTGCTCGAACTGATTTTCTCTCCCTCTATTTGTCCATGACAATAAGTGGGAACAGACAATAATAGAAGACAGAATATTAGTTAGCTTGAGGCATAAGGATTCGATTCTTTTATTAGCTGACTTATCTAAAAGGAATCTTATGAAAATCATCCTAGGGGCTGGGCGCGGTGGCTCATGCCTGTAATCCTAGCACTTTGGGAGGCTGAGGCAGGTGGATCACTTCAGGTCAGGCATTTGAGAGTACCCTGGCCAACATAGTGAAACCCTATCTCTACTAAAAATACACAGATTAGGTGGGCATGGTGGCATGTGCCTGTAATCTCAGCTACTCAGGAGGCTGAGGCAGGAGAATCACTTGAACCTGGGAGGTGGACGTTGCAGTGAGCCGAGATTCTGCCACTGCACTCCAGCCTGGGCAACATAGTGAGACTCGATCTCAAAAAAAAAAAAGAAAAAAGAAAATTGTCCTAGGAAAAAGGCTGTCTGTTGGTCCCTGTCTCTGTTATAATTGTCTCATCCCAGCTTATATTTATGAAACCACAGGAACCTGAAAGCTCCCTAACACTGTCTCTGAAATTGATAAGCGCTGAAGCACTGGAAATACTATTGAAACTTTATGAGGCAGCCATTCATTTGTTCATTCATTCAAACACATATTTATTGAGCACTACTGATTGTAGGCACTGATGATAGAGAGGAAGATAAAGCCTGTGCTTTCAAGGTGCTTACACTCTAGCTGGAATAGTCAGAGAACCTGATAATTATAATAAAGAGTAAAGAGTGATATAATAAAGATGAGAGTAGGGTGTTATAGGGAGCAGAGAGAAGAAATTTCATTTTGCTTGAAGGGAAAAAGATATGAGATCAAAGACGATAAATATTAAATAAATAAAGTAGAAAATACTGATATAGTATGATAAGGAGTAAGCTCAAGATGCTGTGGAAATATAAGCAGGCATCTAATCCAGACTAGAGGTCATTCTGGGAGAAGGAGTTAAGGAAGGGGATAACCGAAGTAAGTCAGACTTAAAGAAAAAAGAGAAGCTTGCTTAGTGTAAAGAGGGAGACAGATTTTTCTAGGCAGAGGGAACTGCATAAGCAGAGGTCTCATGTAAGAAAAAGCATTACATGTTTGGGTGACATGGAAGATAAGGCAGGAAATGGAACACAACAAGGCTGGAAATGTCACCAGGGAATAGATAATGCATTTTGCACTTTACCTTGAAATTGAATTATTTTATTTGTTTTGTTGTTTTGTTTTGTTTTGTTTTTTGAGATAGGGTCTGGCTTTATCACCCAGGCTGGAGTGCAGTAGTGCAATCACAGTTCACTGCAACCTTCACCTCCTGGGCTCAAGTGATCCTCCCACCTCAGCCTCCCAAGTAGCTGGAGTACAGGTACCTGTCACCATGACCAGCTGATTTTTTAATTTTTTTGTAGAGATGTGGTTTCACCCTGTTGCCCAGGCTGGTCTCAAACTCCTGGGCTCAAGCAATCCACCCACCTCAGCCTCCCAAAGTGCTGGGATTACAGACATGAGCCACCACACTTGGCAAACTGAAGTATTTTAGAGGCTGGAGTGACAAGATCAGATACTCACTTCAGTAAGCTTCCTTTGGGAGTTACGAGACAGATCATAAGGGTCTCAATTAAGAAGATGGCTATGTAAATTGATAAGGGGGTAAGAAGAAGATTATGTTATTGTTATTGATTACATAATGATTACATTAGGAGGAGGTGGAGGCGGAGGTACTAACACTATCGAGGGCCTACTCTATGCCACACATTGCTCTAGGTTACTTAAGTGAAAACACTCAGCGCTCACAACAATCTTATGAAAAACGTACTATTATTTCAATTTAGGAAACCGAGACACAGAGAGGTTAAATAACTTGCCAAACGTTGCGCACTTAATAATAGATGAAGATAAGAGAAAGCATTTAGAAAGTAGAGCCCAAAGTATTTGTTGATGGTCTTAATGAGGCGGATGAGGTCAATCCATTATCCAACTCCTCTATCTTCTTACCTCATAGCTGCCAATGGAACTGAGGTTACATTTTGTTTTCTTGGAATTCATTTTTAACCCCATCTCCTTCATTCCTGAACAGTAATGTAATTTATGACCTTTCTATAATCACCTCCTCTTAATAGTAGCAGAAGATTTCTTTCAGGAATCCAAAATTCAGATTAAGACTCACTAACCTTCATCAAATACAGCAAAAAGTAGTACAAATTTGTGCAAGGTCTGTGTCTTTTCCTTGGCCAGACTCCCTGAAAAAGAAGTGAGAACATTTATCTTCTATTTTAAAATCTCATGTAGGAAATTGTCACTAGCAGGAGACATTTCTTCATCAGTTACTTGAGAGTAAGAACAAATGTAGTCTTCTGTCTCTTGTTAACTTTGCTTTGTTGTTAGGTCTCCTATACCAGTATTTCTAAAACTATCTGGAACAAAGAATTTTTTTATTTCAACTTTGATGAAGACCACTACTTGCGTAAAATATGATAAAAATGAATTACTAAAGAAAAAAATTTAAAACATTTACAAAATACAAGCCCTCATACACACACATCACAGAGAAAAAGAAAAATTACAGCAACAGTACACATTGCTTCTGAAAAAAGGTGTGTATAAGCAATTAATATACATAATTTCTGTTACTCTTATAACTTTTCATACTTCTGCAATTGTAAATTAAAAGTTTTGAGTAAAATAATAATTGTCCATATTAAACATCTATACTCATATTTTTTTCAATAGCCCACAGTGCTTTTAATTATACTCACATTTTAAATGAATACCGTGTATATCAATAGCTAAAGTTTTTAATGGAACAAACTAGCTTGTTTCATGCTTTAACTGTTGAGCTTGTTGGCTATCTTTCTTAGCCTTATATATTTTTTAAATTTGGGAACTTTTGTTTGCAGGCTTATTTTGAGTAGAAAGATTTTTGTTTATGACATTTTGTCTTTCTTTCTCTCTCTTGCACCCTTAATGCTTAGAAATAAAAATTAGCTTGAACTAAGAAGGTAACAGTATGTGTGCTGCTACTCATCAGGCTGGGTAAAAGACATAGGTAAAGCTAACTACAGAGTTAACAAGACCATTTCTCCCAAGGACACATTGCCACTGTACAAACTCACTGAATACCAACTATTTGCTTTGATTATCTCTTGATTTCTTACTCAATTGAATTGTTTGTTCTTGGAATTCACAGCCTACCAGAAATGTCTGAACTAATAGCAATAAGAGTGAAACATCTCATTCTTTCCTAGGTCATCTAAATTACTTTGACATGAAGAAGCAGCTCAATTTAAAGCTCAAGCTTCAGGTAAGGGATGCCTTGACTTAACATTTCATGTCTATGTTAACTTTTTAGTTAACCAGGACACTTCACAGTCTAGACCTCATGGTTATTTCTTTACACACAACTCTACTGTGCTTCATCTAAATATTACCTAACCTCCACCCTTCCCCCAAACTCTTTACTAACTCTATATAGTATTTTCCTTTGTTTAGGGAGGTGTCCACAGTCTCTTGTTGCCATGAGGCAATAAATCTGACTTTGTTGAACTATAGTGATCTTTGCTGTCCCTTGTGATCATTGGTTGATTAAACAAAGGATGTGTTCACTATTCTCTATCTAGCAAATCACACCCTAGAATGGAATTTTGGAGATACTGGCTAATGGAAATCTTGGGGATATTTCAGATTCCCCCACTGAACTGAGAAAACTTAGTTCCTATTCTAGGACTGGGTTTGCCAGTTATGTGACTGGCAAATATTTTCTCCCACTCTATAGTTTGTTGTTTCCTTTCTTCTGCTTGATTTGGGTTTGCTTTGCTCTTCTTTTTCTAGTGTCCTGGGGTGGAAATTTAGATTATCGAGTTGATATTTTTCTAATACAAGTGTTTAATTCTATAAAATTCCCTCTAAGCCCTGCTTCAGATATAAACCAAACATTTATTATTATTATGTGGTCTGTGGTTTCAGTGTCAGATCAGTTTTAAACCCTTTGCTGTGCCATTGACTCCAACACAGTGGCCAGTCTGGTACGTGAGGGGAAATCTCAGTTTCACAGTCTTCAGCATGCTAATTAGGATTCCATCCAGATATGTGTAGGTTGGGGGTAAATCCAGGAGTTAATGCACAACTTTATGGGTTTACTTTCCTGGGATCTTTTCCCTCTGTCATCTATAAACTTTCCAGTTCTGTGAGCTCCTTTTTTTGGTTTTCTAACCAGAAGCTTCCAACTTCCACAACTACATCATAGCTAAGGTCAAGCAACGGAAGGGGAAAGACAGAGAGAAAAGTAATGTGCTTTTGCCCCAGGGTCTTAGATCTGTAGCTGTACTGAATGAAGGATAATGTTCCCCTCCCTAAGTTTTTACTCGTGCAGGCTTCTGTTGCCAGCCACTGTCACTGGCACAGGCAACCTTGGACTGAAGCTTGAGAGAATGGTGGAAAAGAGGACAAAAACCCTAGGGGATTTCCCCTTCCATGCTCTTTGTGCATTTAGAGTTACCTTTCCCACTCCTTGAAACGCTAGAGGGTTTCTCCTGGAGCTCTCTTTGCAACACAGTACTCACTTCCAAGTCTCCAGTTATGTTTTAATTCAGGTTAAGGAATACTAGAGTGGGGAAAAACGTATACTCCCCCACAAGTTTGGTAACACTTTGAATTTTAGTGCCTTTTCTCTATTTACTTGTTCTATTTGCCTTTTAGAAATTTTTAAATATCTGGGCTTTGCATTTTGTCAAGGTTTTATAGATAAGTTCAATGGGAAATAAAGGGTGGAGTGTGTTTATCCATTTTACCCGGAGCTAGAACCTCTGTTGACTCTTTAATTCAACTCTGTGTCAAAGAATTATTTGGGTTTTTAACTTATTTCTTTATATGTCATATGTAAACACTAATGTTTTGATTATGTTCTTGTTCAATTAGCCTTTACATCTCATAAATAACACACTGTGGTTTTGGCACTTTCTCATTAATTATGACTATGAAACTGAACTTAGTATATGAAAAATCATACTTTCATCTGAAACTATTATAAACTACAAACCTTTCTCATGTTCTCCACTCCCCACTCCCATCTTTTTTTTGAATCACATTCATCACCATTCAGAAAGACTATGGTGATTCCTGTTAATAAATTCTTTGCCTATTCCCCATCAAAAGGTGGAGTCCCCCTCTATAGACTGGTCTTAGTGATGCATTCTAACTAATAGAATGTATGTTATGTGAGTGATTTCCAAGGTTACATTAGAAAACATGAAACAGTTTCTAATGGGCTCTCTCAGGACCATATAAGAAGTCTGGCTACCCTGTAAGACCCATGTGAGAGAGACCATGTGGACAGTACCATCAAGCCAAGGTTAAAGACATGTGAATAAAGTCAACTCTGGGATGATTTCAGCTCTGGCCACTGTTTGACTATAGCCTCATGAGACACACTTAGATAGACCACCAAGTCAAAACACTCCCAAATTCCATGAGACCCACAGAAACCATGAGCGATAATAAGTGATTGTTGTTGTTTTAAGCCACTAAATTGTGGAGTTATGCAGTAAAAGATAACTGGAATAAGAAAAAGGTACAGTGAAGCTGATTTCACCATAAAAAAATAGGGTGAAAAACAAATTATGCAAAATTTACTTCCCTAATTTAATTTATGCTAAGGTATAAATTAAAAACAGGTTTGATTAGAATTATTTTAGAATATATTAATTCAATCCAAATTAATTAATTTTCAATAACATATATAAATAAATGCTGACTTTTCTTAGATTTTTATATACTTTTGGTCTGCAAATGACAAACTAACCACCTGAACCAGTCTATATGTGTTCACCTTCATGAAGCTTTCAAGGAACATAGCTCAATGTTTTCAAAAGGCAGAGGATGGTAGAAATCACTACTGATAAAGCCCACAGATTTGAAGAGGGAAACAGTAATGCTTTGAGGAGAGAGATTTAAGTCTGGAACTCAGCTGCTCCTGATCCCAGCTTAGAATTTATTGTGGTTATATAGAATGCATATCTGCTTCTCTCAGAAACTGGATTATTCTCCTTTCTATGAGCATGATGCTAGAGTAAAGAAGCCTCTTTCAGGTTAAGGAACACAAATGCTAACTGTTATAGATAGATTCAGTTGTTTGTACTTCTCTGCTTATTTCATCTCAATCATACACTTTCATACACTTACCTTCTCTACATACTAGTAGGGCTCCAATGAGGCCCGAATTCAAGTCTTTTACCAGGTCCACATGAGAAAGATATGAGTAGGTAAGGCACAGCGGGTCAGAGGCCATTGGACCATTCTCTTTCAGGACCTGCCAGACATATGTATGGCTTCCACCAGGAAAGACTTTATCATCTTCTTTCTCCCTTTGACTGGTCTGATCATCATATTCAGCTCCTATAGCAGGAAGAAATAAAATTGTCCTTTCTATACCCATTGTCCACTTAAAGAAACATATCAAGTTTACTGTCACCAATAGGTTCTACATAAGAAACAGACTTTTTGCATCTTTGTTGTTGTTGTTGTTTTGAGACGGAGTCTCACTCTGTTGCCCAGGCTGGAGTGCTGTGGCACGATCTCGGCTCACAGCAACCTCCGCCTCCCAGATTCAAGTGATTCTCCTGCCTCAGACTCCCGAGTAGCTGGGATTACAGGCACACACTACCATGCCTGGTTAATTTTGTATTTTTAGTAGAGACAGAATTTCATCATATTGGTCAGGCTGGTCTTGAACTCCTGACCTTGTGATCCACCCACTTCAGCCTCCCAAAGTGCTGGGATTACAGGTGTGAGCCGCCACCTCTGGCCTACTTTCTGCATCTTAATTTGAAAAACTAACAAGTAGCAGCCACAAATGGGGAGAAGCCTCATATATTCCAGAGGATCTTGAGATCACTAACCGTAGTATGAGTAGTAAAAACTAGGTTCTGGTTGAGATCTCCACATTCTGTTAAATAATAAAATTGCTTCCATTATCGCATCTTTTTGCCTAATTCAATTCAACAACAAATACACTTTGTCACAGACTTTTTGGTGGGCACTAGTGAGGGTCAGGAAAGAGAGATTTAAGAAAATTTCTTAAACTTTGTTCTTTCCTAGTGGTACAACACTATGTTTGGTGGGGGACATAGACATATAAAGATATAATTATAATACCATGTGGAAATATTCACCTATTTATTCACAAATATTTATTGAGTTCTTATTCTTTACCAGACTCAGTTACAAGCTGAAAATATAAAGATCGAGATAGAAGTCTCTGCTTATGGAGCGAGCAACCCAGTGGATAAAAAAAGTAGTAAACAAGCTTCCTACTCTTCAGTAATGCTTGATGGAGGCGGAATTTGAGATGAATCTTAAAAGATAGATATATTTGCGTTATTTTGCATGTGTTTAATATAAAGAATTTAATGTTTTTGTGAGTGGATATTAGAAAATTATTCTTGGAATTGCATTGCTACTTTCACTTTTTTCTTTCAACACACTTTTTATGATGATGCATTTTAATGTACATTACAAATTTCATGACAGTCCACTCCTATATACTTTAGAAGTCATCTTTAAAAAAAATTTTCCCACATACACAAAATGACACTAGCACACCCGATCCAGTTAATATCACCTAATATCAATGCAATATTCAAAATTTTTTTTTTTTTTTACTCAGAGGTTTCCAACACATTTTATTTTGCAGACCACTGGTTTGTAGCTTTTGAGGACCAACATCTGTATATCAATTCCTATAAAATGTCCAACCAATTTCAGTTCCATAGCAGGCTCTTCCAAACTGCACACTATGCTTACGGGTGGAGGTCCAGTTACACATGCATAAAGGCTGCCCTGCCCGCTGGTTCCCAGAGGAGGTCGCGTCGGAGTTAAAGCCTCTTCCAGGAGCTTGATCTTCCCAGGGGTCATTTCCTTTGGCAAGAAGTCAGTTTACACGTGCGGCTTTGATGCCTGTGAGCTGGAAGCACCAGAAACATGCAGGATGTGCTGCTTTTTCTCTCATGAAGGTGGGCACTCGAGGATCCAGTGCCCTCGTGCTTAGTGACAGGAATCCCTCCTCTTTGCTCAGTAGGTTAAAATATAAGGAAGCCTCCACTTTACGAAACACAGATAACACCTTTTTAGGTTGCCTATTTATTCTAGAACTACAAAATTTAATTCAAGAAAATATAGGTCCCATGAAAGACTTAAAAGTTTTATAAAACTAAAATCTAGTTTTTCCCGATAAATTGCACTTTAGGCAAAACCCTCCCAATGCTTCTAAAATAATACTAAAAGGGGCATCTGATTATACAAGAGCAATTTAAAAAGTTAAATATTTATTTGAATAACAAGTTTTAAGTTTGAGCTGCAACGTTGGCAGTGCAGGTTTTTAACACAGATCACGAAAAGGGTGCACAAAAAAGTACTGGCGCAAAGGACAAAATAATGCTAAGAATTAGGCTAAACAGCTGCTGATTTTAAGAAAACAAAAGGCCTGAAATCACTATACAAAATATAAAATGTATTAAACACTACCATCCACAGAACAGTCTTTATTATTGATTATATTTAAAAATTATTTGCGTAATTATATATTGAATTATAAATGAGTATTATACATCAACCTCCATTTGGAAGGCAATTCCTTATAGCACTATAGAACATCTAATTACATTGCAAAAAGTATCCTTTTTTGCTATTGATAAAACAGTTAATATTACTGTAAATATCAGGAAGGCTACAAAAAAAGAAATAAGATTTCTTTTTTGTCTTCAAAGGGTTTTCCATGCAGTGAAGCACTTGCCATGTTGAACTGAATGCACTACTGGAGAATGTTCTGGGTTCAAGATGCTCTTGAGAGACAAGACTAGGCTTTTCAAATCAAACACTCAAAGGAATCATGCAACCCTCCTATGACTGGGATATGACTGGGATACCATCATGTGCCACTTACCAGTGCTGGCTCTCCAGAAAACCATTCAAGACGCTTAAAAAAAAAAAATCAGACTTATATGATAAATATACATAAAATGAAGACACCAACTGCTATTTGACATGACTACTGGTAATGTCTGTGCTATGTGAAAGCACCTTTAAAAAGAGCCTATGCGGCAAGAGATAAGTGTCTAAAGATTCAAAATGAATCAACAGTATTGGATAACAATATAATTCTCAACTCAGAGGCTGCCTCAAGATTAGGTGCATCTTCAGTTAATGTAACAGGAAAAAAGGCAATGGATTTTATTTTATTAATTGTATCCACTTACAAACAGACCTAAGGTCACCCCGATGTGTAGACACAATGAGATTTTTGTTGTTTATAGTCTTTAATTGAAGTGGTAAGGGAAACAGATCTATTTAAAATCAAAACCAAACAACTATTTCTGTCTAGATTAAGAGGTGGCCCCAGGTGTGGGATTCACCTTTTGAGTGGCCACTTGTGGTGCGACCTCGATGATCCGGGGTTTGTCTATCATTCTTGTTGTGCGGTTGTCCTTGTCTACAATCCCAATAATCCATGCTTGGTGGCCTTCACCATATTTGGGGGACTTTATCTCTGCATAGAACCGAGCTGCTTGCTCACGTGGTAAACAGATCAGAAGGCCGCCTGAGGTCTCTGGGCAGGTCCCGTGCATGAGGCCGAACATGTTTCCACAGGCTTTGCTCACCGCAGCCATCTTGGCCAGCACCGGGAGGCTGTGAATTACAAACGACACCTCGTTCCTCTGCTGCTTGACCAGGTTCTGCACATGGCCCCAAATCCCGAAGCCCGTGATGTCAGTGGCCGGGTGGGCACTGAACGTGTGCATAAGTCCTGCAGCTGTCTTGTTGAGCCTCGCCATGTTCATCATTGCCTCCTGGTAGGCCAGCTCTACATCTTCTTGGGTGATCACTAGTTTAATCTCATTCCATTTCTCAGGAATATCCAGCCACTGGTGCACAGCCACTGCCACCTGTGTCCCCAGGGGTTTTGTCAACACCAACACGTCCCCTGGCACTGCATTGTCTGGCATGATAAATTCATTGGGCTGACAGACAGTGGTAGCAACTCCTCCCAGGACAATCCAGGGGTTTAGTACTGTTTGGCCACCTGTTACAGACGTTTCTGCTTCCTCAGCTGCGTCTTTAAAACCTTCGATAATCAGAGGCATCACTTTATCCCTTTCCCTGTCGGTCATTTTATTACCGACTCCGAGGAGCATCAGCATATTGTCACATTCCGTGACCCCGTTGTGTAGAGGTCACTGAGGACATTGGCACATGCTATCCTGCCCATCATGTAAGGGTCGTCTGCGATCGGGTAAATGTAATCTGTGGTTTGAACCAAGGAAAGCCCACCGTGCCTCAAAGGAATGACACAAGTATCCATTCCAATGCCAAGCCTTGGCATAACGGCTCCCAGAAACTGCTCATCTTCTTGGAAGTGGTTCTCTTGTAAAGATTCCAGCAATTTTTGCAGGACATCTTGGGGCACTTTGCAGCCTGTGCCCTTCAGTTCAGTGAATCTGGTTAGCCGGAAGCTTTTGTCCAATTCGTAACTTT